CCATCTTAGCTAATTTAAAAAGCTCTGGATTTCCCCAAAGCAAAACTCTCATACAATATTTTCTCCTTTTAAAAACATTCAGACCCCTGCAGTTCTCTGCCTCTCAGCAGAATTATAATGCATCACCATTAAGTGCTTCCTAACTCAGATGTTACCATAAGTATGGGAAAATGTGAAAATAATGAGCACCTACAATTACAAAAGCCACCTAATGCTAAGGGAAAATAGAAGAAAAGATTCTCAAACTTTTCTCAAATAAGTATGAAGGGAGCTATATTTTTATTCATCCCATCGTTCCTGTGTGATACTTTCCCTGCCCTTCAGGCCTTCATACAAGACACAAAAGTTTGAAAGATTCATAAATACCTAGAAGAAAAAACATTGCTCTTAAGACAGTTTGAAGCAAAACTTCAATGGGCTGCAACAGCGAAAACACCTTAATTGTGCATCTAGGAGCAGAGTTTGTAAAGTACAGCTTGGAGATACCACAACCCAATGGCACTCATGAAGACATAAACAGAGAACCAAGAAACATTAAAAACCCAGGATATCCCCAAAAGAAGGAGATCTGGACAGCAAATTAAAATCAAGATCAACTCAGTACATGGGCCCACAAAGATGTTAAAGGGTAAGATATTTCCAAAGTCCTCTTTGAACAGTATAGTTTTTAACCTGTTTTTGGAAGGACAAGAGAGAAGGGGCCTGGCATGTATCTCCTGGTAATGCATTCGATAGCATTGTGGCCACCACCAAGAAGACCCAGTTCCTGGTGGTAGTTTTCAGAGCCTCTCTTGAGGTGGCCAACCACAAATGCAACATCTACCTGTTCCGTGGCTTGGGTAGACAATCTTAGGGAAAGATGCTCTGTCAAGTAGCAAAGTCCCAAACTGTTAAGGGGTTTATAGTTTGAAACCGGCACTTTGAATTTGGCACAGAAGCATACAGGGAGCTAATGCAGATGTGCCAGGGTTGGGGAGATGTGATCGTATCTTCGTGCTCCTGAGATGGACTTGGCTGCTGTATTTTGCACCTTCTGAAGCTTCCTACTGTCTTCCAAGGCAGCCCCATGTAGAGAACACTGCAGTAGTCAATCCTAGAGATTTCTAATGCATAGACCAACATTGTTAGGGATTTCCAGTCCATGTAGGGCCGTAACTGTGGAATCTGCTGAAGATGAAAGAAGGCAGACCTGGCCATGGCCAAAATTTGGTTCTCCATAGAAAGCGAATCCTGTAGGTTCCATTGATTCAAAAGGGCCTGCTTTAGTTGTGACTTATCATAGAAAGTTACTTCATTAGTTAGCAGGCAAATCCTCACTGATTCAGTGAGTCTACTCCAGTGCAACCCACTAAGCTAACAACAGGATTTCAGCCATTGTTATACAATGCAAGGAGTGATAATGTTTGTTAATCCATTGGATCAGGCATAATCTATTCTGCATCTCAAATTATCCTTCAAATGGAATCCTAGTAAATTTTCGAACAATTACTCCAACTTGCTGCGTTGAACTAAGTGCTAAAGTGTTCCTTTTGACTTCAGAAATACATTAGTGAAGTGTTCATAACCCCTCTTGGTTTGCCATGAATATTAATAGCGAGTTCAATTTTGTGCTTCCCCCACTACCTTCTAAGTTAAGGCTTTTTACAAATGACTGCTGCATAAACGAGCCATGAGTGCACACAGCAATTTCCATATTCTAAATCTACCTTGTCAGTGACTGAGGAATGGAGCTACATCATGGGTATATTCCTGAGTAGCAAACATCTGTCTTGAACAGAGTATCGTGCAAGGAAAGTCTTTGAGCACTGAGACATTCCTAGGACAAGGCAATACAAAGCCCTTTTAACTATCCCATAAATTCTGAACAGCTTCATGGAAAGGATAAGCTATATATCCTGGAAGGCAAAATATTTACAAAATGAATGCAAAGGCTTGCCTCACCTATTCCACCCAATATCCCTGAATTATGCATCCCAAACAACAAAGAGTAGTTTGCATTTCAGCTGCCCAAAGAAATATCTGTTTATTTATTCATACATATGTACGGCACAAAATTATTGGTAGATGCAAATCCAGGGCTTCATTCTGTATTTCACTGATTCCTTTGGGAAACCATGATTAGTTTGTTCCCTCCCAACATTCTGTTTTCCCCTTGAACTTTTCATCTCTACCTGGAATTCATTCTGTTACTTCACTTAGCTTTAATGAAGTTCACAGACCTCACAAAGCCAGAGCAGAATTAAAAGCATGCTTTTCTGCTCTGTCGGCAATTAGCAATAGCAAAGCCAGCAGTTCCTACATCTTCAGAACTGCTGAATTAGATAGTATACATGGACAAGTGTTATTTAGATTTATTAGGGTAACATTGAGCTGTATATGAGTAATGGAAAGTAAAAGTAGATGCAAGAGTTGTTGCAGAGTTTTGAATCTCTGGGAAAATTACCTTTCATTACCCAGTAGAAGTACAGAGATCCACAGAAGAGAATAACTAGAAGTTCCCCAGTCCACCCTTTTCTCATTAACTGGCACCTGAAGATTCAGTAATTCACTCTGAGACATATTGTAGGAGAATAAAAACATTTATTTACCTACACTTGCTTGAAAATTATGAACTTGTCTATGTGGCTTTCTTTACTGCACACATACAGTACTTAGCAATCAAGTGAGGAGATCAACAGCAAACAAACAGCTGCCACCAACCTGGGAAAGAGCACTCAGAAGAGAAGTGGCGCTCTCTTGGAACTCAAAGGCTGGAAGAAACAATTGGTTAGTGCTAAGAATTACCTCATCCCAAAAAAATCCTTCTTAGTCACACAAACCACAGACAGCATGCGAGGTTGCAAATTAAACTTCAACAAGGGTAGCAAAATACTGTACGTTTATTGCAACAGAGGATGTGTACAGTGAAAACGTTCATGTTCCTCTTATATCTGGTTCTTTCAGAAGCACCTGCTCATTTTTGTTTTGTTTTATTTTCATGTTTTTCTGTACTAGTCCTTTTGTTTAAGGGGAAAAATATCCTCTGGGTTATTTTGTTTGCCCATTCATGCTTCTGGCAGTCCAAAAGCCCAACAAAATCCTTAAAAGTTACTTTGGAAAACTGGAGAGACAAGGCAACGGGGGATCAAGCTACTCCAAAAGTGGGCATTAGTACACAAAGAAGAATTATCACCATCAGAACTAGGTGAAAAATACTTCACTCACCCAGCAGCCAATTCAAAAAGCAGAAAGGAGAAAATGACTATTAATCCAGCACAACAGAGTTCCATGAAAGCACCGAGAAAACTTTTCTAACAGGCAGCTAGGCTGGAGCTCAACCTATCTTAAGCCATGAAGCTTTCAAGCCCAGCCTTTATCTAGATAAGCACATTTAGGTGTGGATCTGGCAGGTGGAACTCCTACAGTGGAGAAAGGAGGAGGAAGAGGAGGAGGCAAGGCAAGGCAAGGCAAGGGGGCGGGGAGGGAAGGCTCCCTTTCGCTCTCTCGCTCGCTCGCTCGCTCTCTTTTGGGGAGGGGGGCTCAGCCTGGCCCTGCGCTGAGGCAAGAACCGGCCCTTCTGACCATCAGCCCTTCTGGCATTTGCCAGAATTGCCAGATGGCCAGTCCGGCCCTGCAAGTGATGCAAGAGACATGGATGTTCAACAAATCATGGCCAATTTTAACTTCTTTGTTAAAAGTGAGCTTCAAAATGGGGGCTGCAAACTCAAGTCAAGAGATGTAGGTTCCAGATTCTACCTCTGCAGATTGGAATGCCTTTCCCAATCTTATCAGACAAAGAGTTGCTAGTCATTAAGTATCCTTGCCTCTTGCCCTATGTTGAAACATGTTGGGGATAGACATAAATGTGGCCAACCTCGTTTTTGGAGTCGTTGGTAAAAAAAATCAGTGCTTTTTGAAAAACCAGTTCTTTAAATTGGTTGGATAGCTCAGTAGGTTAAATCACTGGTTCTTAACCTTGGGTTGCTCAGGAGTTTTGGACTGCAACTCCCAGAAGCCTTCACCACCAGCTGTCCTGATGGGTTTCTGGGAGCTGCAGTTCAAAAGCATCCGAGTAACAAAGGTTAAGAACCACTGGGTTAAATGTCTGGATGCTGAGCCAGGACTTGGGATTTCTATTCCCCAGTATGCTACTTACAAAAAGAGTCAACCTGTGAGCTGCAACTACTGACAAAGGCCCTAATACTTCCCAGTAGACATCTTCCAAATTCTCGTGGTGAATAATACTTGTATATCAATGATTTAATACACAATTCTTGAATAATATTAGCATAGGAATAATTTTGATCCTTGCTGCCCAGCTGGGGAACCCAAGTGATTCATCTTTGCCCGGGGAGGGGAGGCATGCAATCAAGATTGCACAGTAAGATCTTTCGATATCCATTAAAAAGCAAGTACTAGCATGCAGGAAGCCAAATTGCTGTTGTAATTCTAGAATGAACTCACAGGGCAATTGCCCACTTTGGTGCGACACTAAAATTAAGGCATAAAGAAATGGACCCTGATCCTTGAAAATGCATATTAAAATAAATCTGTTAACCTTAATAATCGGTCCTTCCTCCCCCTCTTTTTATGGGATGCCAAAACATGGGCGGGGATTCCCTAAATGGGAAAAACTATCAAAATCCTAAAATTCTCCATTTTTCCTCCTATGGGCGTCTCTCAGTTCCATCCTGAAAGAATGGAAAAACTGAAATCCCACCGAAAAGGCAACGGCAGTGAGACTCCTGTCTTCATCCTAAAACTATTAAAAGCAAAACAAAAAAAGAAAAAGCATCGAGCGCAGGCGCAGAAGAGCTCGCTTCTCATGATGCCTATAATAGTGCCTGTTTAAAGCCTTGCTTTTTTGGAAGGCAACAAAAAAATATCTTCAAAGAATTAATACACTGTATCTTCTGTCCCCGACAGGAAGAGAATGCCTGGCCCGGCGCAACGCGTTCACTTTGAGGTCAAAGTCTTTTCAGGCACTGCGCAGGACTACTTAAGGGGCTTAAAGGGAAAGGACGTCGCAGAAAAAGGTCTTTTCCCTCGTGGGCGTCGCGACCGGTTTCTTGCGCTTTAGCTACGTTGGCGAAGTGGGGCTCTGCAAGCGGTGCGAGGGGTCGGTCCTCGGCGGCGGCCATGTATTATAAATTCAACGGCTTCACGCAGAGATTGATCGGATCCGGCGCTTCCGTAGCCTGCTCTCCACAGGTAAGAGGGAGCCGCGCGTGCACGTCTCGCGGGGAACCTTGACCTTCACCGCCGCCCTTCCTTCCCTGGTGGAGAGAGGGCGTTTGGACCGGTCCCTGCGAGGTCCGTTTCTTTGGAGGCGAACCTGAGACTGAAGAAAGGAAACAGGATGGGGTTAGGTTGCAGGTGGTTCTAGTGGTGGTGGAGGAGCAGCAGCAGCAGCAGCACGTGACTCTTACCCTTGACTTCTGTGGCCTGAGCTTCTTGACCATGGCTGGTCGAGGGGGAAGGGAGTTCGGCCAAGTGACCTTCCAGGAGATCTTTCAGGCTTCTTTTCGACTTGTACTTTTCAACACCCCTGTTTGAAAGTGATCCGCAGGCAGATGCGTTGACAGATTTTTATTTTTTGGACTTCTCTTCCCAGACCAAGGACATTCAGAAAGTTGCAGGCCAACAACATGTGGAAACCCAACCACTGTTCCATTTGAAAAACTGTTTAGTCCCAATCTAAGTTTAAAAAACAAACAAACCCAAGAAAGCAAACCAAGGATGTTGAAGTTGCTTGTCAACAGCTAATGCCTGGACATGAAAGAGTTAAACAAGTGCTAAAGTCAACTGGTTTCCCCCATATCTCACTATTGTTTATTTATTTATTAATTCCATTTCAAGGACGGGGTGTAATTGTGTTAATCTGTTGTAGGAAATGCATAAAAAATTATGCAGGATAAAATGATTGTGTTACAGTTGTTGTAAACTTGTGAACTTCAAACTGCTTCATCAGTTGTTTAGGAAACATAAGCAACCACTTTCTTGCTCAGTCTGTCCAGGTACTGACAATTGTGACCTTTTATAATTCAGAGTGGATTATTTTTAGCCCTACTTGGAGATGTTTAATACCATTTTCAAGTACTAATACAGTCTGACCCCACACAGCTTGTGAAATTATACTAATGAGATGTGCTGATGGTATCGTCCTAACTTCTGATTAAGTGGGTAAGAGTCTACAAGATCTTAAGCCAAATGGAATTTGTTAATCTTTCAGGAGCCACAATGACCTTCAGTTTTTATTGTTATGTTTAAAACCTGCTATTATTTTGACAAGAAAGAGATTTTATTTATGTATTAGTTATATTGATACTTTCCCTCCAGTAAGCTCACAGTGGAATATATGGCTCTCCTCCTTCCCATTTTATCTTCAAAACAACTCCAGAGGTAGATTATACTAAGAGAGACACTGGGTCACTTAAGTGTATTTCTTGGCTGTATCTCTAAAGTCTCATTCCAGCATTCTAATTACTGTAGCACATTCAGTCTTTTCACATATGAAATTTTCTGCTGTTTGGTTTTCTGATCACGTATTTCCCTTAATGCCACCCCGTCTTCAGCACTGCAAAGTTGAACCTTAGGGAGAGACAAACACTGGCCAGGGTTGAATTCAGATCTGCACAGATCTTGTGTTGACCTTTGATAATGATTATGAGGGTGATTTCATAAAAGTGAAGTCTGAGCAACGAAGTACTGTATGTATAAATAAAAAGACCAGGGGAAGCATTTGTTAGAGCAGTGGTGGAGTAAAACTAGCATAAGAACAGAGTGTCAGCATTGGTGTTAGAACATTACATTGAATGGCCAGCTGAACCTACTAGAAAAGTTCCATGAATAAGCTTGTGTTATGCAAGGTAGATAACTACTGTATCACTATTTGCCACCATACCAACAGCCCCACCTGATATAGAGATGAATTGTGCCCATGCTGATGCTGTAAGCCTCATAGCAGCACTGTTATCTGGTCCCTCACGTAAGATTAATACTTGACATTGTTATAAGCAGATCTTCTTATAATTACATGCCATTTTTTTAAAAAAAATACCCTTTGTTAAAGGATAGCTTTTAAAAGATGGGAGTCACAAAGATTATATTTGGTTAACTAGCAAAACCCAGTACTGTACTTCCCAATTAATTGGAAAGTAAGAAAACCAGATTTACTTGCTCAGTCAGACAGATGGCAAATATTAAGAAAATGTCAGATCACTGAATCTAAGAAGGTTCAGATAATGCTGTTAAAGTGCACATCTCTGAATGCATTAATGTTTTAAATCAGGCTGATATAAGTAAGTAGACCAAGACCTTTTCTCTTTTCAGTTTCGGTGAATGCTGGACTGCCTAATTCCAACTCAATTCATGTCTATTTAATTGCAGAGCTAAATTCCTCTGTAATTTACTTGTCTGTTCTAAAAGGCAGCATCAAATTTTAGATGTTTTAGAAAACTCAGAATAATTGTCTATCTGCCTGTGTTTTGCAGATATGTACCATAGTCAGGAAGGTCTCATTATAATCCTTAGACTTTGAGATTTATTTTCCTAGCTAATCCACTACAAATGGAGGCAAATTGAGACAATTTATCATTTTTATATTGCAAATTACTGAGTCATACGGAATTTCTAGTCAGGGTTGACTTTTCAATAGTTTTATTAATTTCTGTCAAAATAAATAGATTACCACTGGGATTACTAAGTCTGGACTGTGTGATCTTCTTTATAAATCTCCACATTGTTTGGAGTTATCACGTATTGTTTAATACAGTATTTGCATTTGTGGTGGGTAAAATATAGCCTATGGGCCACATTTGGTCCCCTAGATCAATGGTCCCCAACCTTGGGCCTCCAGATGTTCTTGGACTTCAACTCCCAGAAATCCTGGCCAGCAGAGGTGGTGGTGAAGGCTTCTGGGAGTTGTAATCCAGGAACATCTGGAGGTCCAAGGTTGGGGACCACTGCCCTAGATCATTTTGTTTTGGTAACAACATGCCATGTATGCCCATCTCAAATACTTTTTGTTCCCTGTTTTGCTTCTGGAGATCAGAGAGGCAGTTTTTGTATTGTGTACACACAGACATACACCAACACCAACATTGGTGGACATCCATGCACTTCCATTTTTGATATTTTGTTTTTCCAATTTTTGAGGCTTACTGGGCCATAGGAAAAATCGTCTTGTGAGGCACCAAAAACCTTGCCGGACCCATTCGTCTAGTGAGTTTTTCGTCCGGCGAGGCAATTGTCATTCGAGGTACCACTGTATTTAGAAAAAAGCCAGTAGCAATGACAAGAAGAATATTATAACATTCCATTGCTTTCTGGATAGGGAAGAACTTATCATGTTGACCCACTTTTTACTAGTCTCAAGTTTCAGAACTGCAGCATGCTTTGTGTAGGGCTCCTCTTGAATGATGTCATGGAGGCTTCATGCATACATCTAATGACTCTGGCTGCAATTCATGAAGGCTCATAACAAGCAAAACACATCTTTAAGTCTTTAAGGTTTCCCAAGACTCCATGGATTGCTGCCCCTTCATGGATTGCTGCCCCCTTCATGGATTGCTGCCTTGTCGTGGCGAAGGGGCTTGAGCAACTCAGAGAAGCTATGGGCTATGCCGTGCAGGGCCACCCAAGACGGACAGGTCATAGTGGAGAGTTCCGACTAAACGCAATCCACCTGGAGTAGGAACCAGCAATTCCACTCCAGTATCTTTGCCAAGAAAACCCCATGATCAGAAACAAAAGGCTAAAAGATATGAGGCTGGACGATGGGACCCTCACCCTCAGGTTGGAAAGCATCCAACATGCTACTGAGCGGAGGACAAGGACAAGTAGCTCCAGAGCTAATGAAGTTGTTGGGCCAAAGCCAAAAGGACGCTCATCTGCGGATGTGCCTGGAAGTGAAAGGAAAGTCTGATGCTGTAAAGAAAAATATTGCATAGGAACCTGGAATGTAAGATCTTTGAACCTTGGGAAGCTGGAGGTGGTCAAACAGGAGATGGCAAGAATAAACATTGACACCCTGGTGAACTAAAATGGACAGGAATGGGTGAATTCAACTCAGATGATTATCACGTCTACTATTGTGGGCAAGAATCCCATAGAAAGAATGGAGTAGCCCTCATAGTCAACAAAAGAGTGGGTAAAGCTGTAATGGGATACAATCTCAAAAATGATAGAATGATGTCAATACGAATCCAAGGCAGACCTTTCAACATCACAATAATCCAAGTTT